AGAGGTGGTAAGGGCGCGTTTTGTGGTGGAGATGTTGGTGGAGCGAATGGCATAGAGGCTGTTGCTGTTGCGACCCTCTAGGATAAATCCATAAGCATCAAAGTGAGCAGAGTAGTTATTGTCCGCAAGGAGTTGTTGAAGGGAAAGAAGATTGTATGAAAGAGATGGAACATGGAGAAGTTGGTTGAGATGGAGCTTACGGTGAGAATGAGGGGTTGGGAGTATGCCTTTGCTAGTGTTGAAGATGGGTAGTGTAGTTCCATTGTCGATGGTGATAACGTCTGAGCCTGTGTAGGGAGCGGGTTGCTGAATGTTGGAGAGATTTGCAGTCAGGTGAGTTGAGGCGTTATAGTTCAGGAATCAATCGGACGAGTTTGATTGGGGTAGTTGTTGAGTGTAGAGGCTGGTTGTAGTGGTTGAGGGGTTGGGTTTGTATTGCAGATGGCTATGGTGCCAACAGACAAGAGTTGTGTGGCCAAGCTTGTTGCAGATTTGGCAAGTGATTCACTGAGGAAGGCGTGGTTGCTGAGGGGAAGGGCGAGAGTTCTGCTGCTATTGGGTTGGACTAAAGCGACCGCGACTGTATCACATGGGTCGGCCTCTGGAGGCTAAGAAGGCGACTAGAGATGAGTTTGCTGAGGACATTTTGAGATTCTCAGCTGCTATGTTGATCTCTTTGCTGCATAGAAGAGAGTAAAGGTCATCCAAGCTGATAGGGGTTAGCTTGGTTCTAATGGCAATCTCAAAGTCTTGATACGAGGGAGGCAAACCATTGAGAATGTACATGATAATGTCTTCGTTGTCGAGTTGGGATCCAGTGGCTGTGATGTTGTCAACGTGGGACTTGATGTTGGAGAGGTACTGTGTCATTGTTAGATCTCACATAAAGATGTTATGCAGCTCATTTTTCAATTGAATCACGCGGGACTGGTTGGATGACTGCAGGCGTTTCTCTAGGGTGTCCCATTCCTTATGGCAAGATTGAAGGTTTAAGATATATGGGAGGATGGTAGGTGAAATGGTTGAATACAATGTTGCTGACAGGTTTTGGTCAAGGAATTGTCAGTTGGTGTAGGCAGAGTTGGGTTCCAAGTCGCTTATTGCTGTGGTACGTAGTTTGGGCAGATTAGGGATATCATCGGTGAGGTATCTAGTGAAGTGGTTGGTTGAGAAGAGTTTGCGGATTTGAAGCCGCCAAATAGGATAGTTGTCACTGACGAGTCAAGTTTGGATAATGGATTTGATGTTGGACATGAGGAATTTGAGGGAGGAGGGTATATTGGTGTCTATAAAGGGATTGGCCTTGGTTGCAGGGAGGTATGCGGTACTAGAGGTGCTTATGTAAGCCATGGACGGTGAGAGGGAGGAGAGAGGTTGGGATGGGAGAAGAAGTGAGTAATTAAGCTTTTATTGCTCTGATACCATGTAGAATAACATGGTATAATAGTTGTAAAGAAGCTATATTTCTATTGATTCCCAACAGAGAAGCTACAATATGGTTTATATGGAAGACTAAAGATACAAGATAATTTATAAGTGAGTGGATTGGATGAGTACGTTAGAGATCAATGGTCCAATTTGCAAGGGCAGGGAATCCTCTGATGCTTGTGCATGAGCAATAGTGGAGAACGACCGGAGCAGGTGGCTTGCTTATCAGTTGGTGCTTATCACTACCTCCTATTGATGTGAAACATACATGCAAGGATGATTAACTTAGGGAGTTTGCACGCTTAATTTTAGAAACCACAATAATTATATCTTTGTAGTGATTTTGAACGACAAAAGAAAACACAATGAGCGGTAAGACAAGTTTAGGCTAAATTACATGCATAGGAGTTAAGATCGTAAAATAGCCAATTTAATCTAACATTGCATACATGAATGATTTTCAACAATAAATCCCAATGCTAACAATAAGATTATGCACGATGCAAGAATCCCTCACTCAACTCTCTAGTAGTATTAGGTTTTAGCGAAGGAGAAATAGCATGCTCATAGTGAATCAAAGTGCAACCACAATAGAGTAATAGACTAGGAATATATGAGAGCTGGGGAAGAGTTCACCCGTAGAAGATGAGAGGTGAAGCTCCATTGTGATCATTGTGTTGGAGGAGAAGTAAGCCATATGACATTCCTAGCTTCCTCGAACAGCCTTTGGGAGCCTCTCCAATTAGCGGGACAGCAAGGGGATGGTGCGGGCTCCTCTGGACAGCAACCACAGTAATTGGGACAGCAGTCTGGAGCAAGGTTTAAAATTGCGTAAATAAGCCTCGAGGCGTTTTTCGTTCGTGAGGCGAGGCGTAAGCCTCGAGGCGGTGTGAGGCGTAAGCCTCACCGACGAAGAATTGCGTAAATGAGAATTTAAGGGTTTTAGCAAGTAAAAAATAGTAAGATTCTATCATACAATAAAAACATCTAAATGACAATTAAAATTAGGGGAAAGTAAGAAAATAGATGCAATAAAATCATGTCCTAAAGTACAAAACCACAAAATATTAGTCTATCAAAACTCCCAAAGTATAATTAAGAAAGAACATATATAATCCAATCATGACCCATCACTAAATGAGTCTTCAAGGGAATCTTCTCACCCCTTCTTCCTCTTCTATAGAGTCCAATGTCTTCCAATCAAAGCATGCACTCATGAAGAAGTAGACTAACACTAACAACTATTACTAAAGATGATGAATAGAACAATATGCCGGACTGCCGGGGGTCCAAGGGGCAGCTGGCGGGGTTCGACCTGTTTGTTTTTGAAGTTCGTAAGTTGTTTTTATGGGAAGATACCGAGTGGTACCGAGCATGTTCCTTAGCAGTACCGAGCATGTACCTAGCGGTACTGAGCGGTACCGAGCATGTACCTAGCAGTACTGAGCAAATACCTAACTATACCGAGCATATACTATGCGGTGCCGAGCATGTACCTAGCAGTACCGAGCAAATACCTAGCTATACCGAGCATATACTGAGCGGTACCGAGCATGTACTGAGCGGTACTGAGCATACATTTGAGGCGTACGCCTCAGCCAGCATTGCCCAATTGCGCCTCTGAGGCGCGCCTCAGTCCAAGTGAGGCGTACGCCTCTGCCAGGAAAGGAATTGCGTAAGCCTTGAGGCGGTTTTGGGTTAAATTGCGCAGAGGCGCGCCTCTTATTGCGCAATTTTAAACAGAGGTATGGAGTTGTGGAGAACTCTGGACAGCAGTTCCAGCACTTGAAATACTTCTAGACAACAACCCAAACAGCTTCCCAAAAATTTGGGCAGCAGCTACCACGTCAGAGAGGTCTTCAAATAGCAAGGAAGGCCTTTGGAACTTGCAGGACAGCAAGATAGACTTTCCAAGGGAAAGACAATCCGGAGCTCCAACGTGGTCGTTTGAGTGTTTGGCAAGATGGACAGCAATACGAATTTCCTGGCTGTTTGGGACAGCACTTAGGCAACCCCTGGGTAGTAAACAGCACTTGGGGCTTCACCAATCAGCTGGACAGAAGAAAAATGGTTGCAGGAATCTCTGGGACAGTGCTTGGAGGAGTGCTGGCCAGCAAACAGAAGCAAACCTGGCAGCACTATGGCTGGTTGGAGTTTCCCGGACAGCAGTTTCTAAGTGGAAAATTGCTGGACAGCAATTTAGAGCAGGTTTTGGGGGCCAGGTTTTGAATTTTGAATCCCCAAATAACGTATAAAGGAGGGAAAGTCATTCCTTAATGAGGGGTTGATTGAAGCAATTAGTGGGAGGTGATTTAATGAGGCAAGAGAGAGAGAGAGAGAGATGGAGTGGGCCGGCCTACAGAGGGAGGGGAAAATTGTGTCCACATTCAAGTGGGAATTAAATATGAGATTTATTTCAGATTTAAGGTGATTTGGTGGGATTTAATTTGAATTTTGAATTCAAATTCAAGTGGGATGGAGCCTAAATATGAAGCAATAGGATTTAGCCCATTAATGGGTGGCCGGCGGCATCACGAGGGGAGGATGAGTGTGGGGAAGATTTGAATAAGTTTCCAAACGAGGTTTGCCACATAGGAAAGAGAATAAACAACCCTCTTTAATTTAAAATTAAATCGGATTGAAATTTAAAAACTTTCTTTATTTGGAACTTTGCAAATTAGGAAAGTTTTTTTGAAATTCAAATTTGAATTTCAAATGATGGAAAACCTTTTCTATCTTGATTGACTCGCTCTAGGGAGCCATGATGATGTTTGGAGTCATCACAATGGTAGGGAGCCATGTAAGGGGCAGCGACAATGGAATGTGGAAAGGAGTTGGGGTCGGGTTGGAGGAGAGGTGCTTGGGCCGTTGGTTGGAGCTTGAGGTGGTGGAATTGGGAGAGAATTTGGGTGGGGAGGATGGCCGGGGTGGAAGAGCTAGGAGGGGTCGGCGGGTGGAATGGGGAAAAGGGAATAAGAAGAAAATAAATTAAAAACACGAGTTGCGGACTCTTCCAACGACTGGTGGGTATTGCGCTTGCTCACCTTGAGCGCTTTCTCCCTTCTCTCTAGTGCTCACACAAGAAGGAGAAGAAAACACATGAAATTTTCATTATCAAATCATTATCTTACAATACAAGAGAGTTAGCCTATAAATAGACCTCATGAAAAGAAAAATAGCAAAGACTAAAACGCTCTTCGGGCTACAACACAACATGACCACTCCTAAGGGTAAAATGAGAAAAACAGTAATATAAGATAAACTAGTACATAATACATTAAAAAAAAAATAAGCTCTAGATCGTAGCCGTTGATCTTCCGATGTCCTCATCACCTATTATGGTGAAATCACAACTTTATTGATTTGTTATATCTTTTTGGTTTAATCTGCAACGAGTATTGAAGATTTTTAATGCTTATAATATAGATGCCCTTGCCGGGGCAGAAATATAAGAAAATTTCTTTTTGTAGAAAATTGTTTTTTGTTAAATGAAAGAAGAAAGCATATCTCGACTGCTCCCTTTTATTTAATGTGTGATTGCTAGTCACCAGAATTCTATCATATTTTTCCAGTTCTTGAAGAGGTTATTGGAGAAATTGAAGGTTCAATTCCGAGAATTGAATGGGACTTCGAAGGAATTCACTACTTTGATAATGGGCCACTTACTGTTCAGTACCTTCTTGTACTCGATGCTCTGAATTTCTGTTTTTGGCCAGGTACTAATGAACGAGATCACCTAACTTCTGATTTGCTTCTCCTTACTAATAAATGTTTTGTAGTGATAATAACATTCACATTGATAATTTTCTTTATTGTATTGAGACTTTCCATTTAAGCATGTGTTTTTGTGCTGTTTTTACCCGAGCAATCGTCTTGTAGGTTCATGCCATACAAGATATGGCATATTACTAGCAATTTTTTTCACATTAGAAGCACGTTCAATGCTCTGTTTCATATGTCAAACTTGATCAACACTTCTCCTTAAATCTACTTCGAATTACTTGAATCACTTCGTCCTAGTTACCTCATTTTCATGAGCATTATATTATAGTTTATAACACTTTGAGGTGGTGATGAAGAACTTCCAACCACCTTTCCAAACATTTCAAATTTCCCTAAATGGATACAATTTCTTTCACCTACACAAATTGAAATTTTTTAGTTTGTTATTGTAGTTATAATATAACTAGTAAATATTGTGCATTAAAAGTTCTCTAACATGTTATGATAGATTTAATTTATTTTCCCAACATTTTGATTACTAATTATATTGACTATGATGCATGATAAGAGACATGGGGATACAGGCATGACAAGACACACTAATAAATGCATGTGATAAGTTAATTCTTAAAAATTATATGACTCTAAAAATGAACTAGAGTCAACATTTATTATGAAAAAAAATATATTGAAATAAAAAGTTAGTTCATTTACACAACTCTCTTTGGCCTATTGGTTGAGAGCTTAGGCTTCCAACTAAGAGGTCCAAAGTTCGAGTCTTTGTGTATGCGTTGTGTGTGTGAGTTTGCCTTAAATGGCCTAAATGTCCCAAAAAAAAAAAAAGTTAGTTCATTCATACTGATATCGTTATAGGCTTCTAAATCAAACGTGAACAACAATATGAGTAAAATCATACTTCTCGTTCAACATATTAAGTCAAATATGAAAATTCATAATCCCATAATTAGTTGGTACAATTTGTGTGACATGTCTCCAATAAATGTTCATGATATGCAAAAAATGCCTAAAAGTCGTCTAAGAAGTATTGAATTTTTTGCTTTTAAACTATATTAAGACACGACTCAAAGTATGTCCTATGTGATACCCTAAGCGTATTTGTTGATTTTTGTGACTTACGCGACGTCCGATACAATATAATTGTTGAGGCACGTGAGAGCATTTTGTTATTCCCACGCAGATAGTTGAAATTATGTTGTTGTAGAAATATAAAATGGTTGGCCCTTACCTATAAGTTTAAACAATAGGGTTGAAAATATGTTTGTCAATTGATGTATTTGGACTAAGTTTGGCCTCCTTGTGGATTACTGCTCTACAAATGTAATCAAAGCTGATGGCTCGTCTAGGATTGAGCAATTCATGCATTCGTGGCTCTCATGTATCTTTGCACTTTTGTTATGATTGAACATTTTTTAAGAGCAAACTTTCTATGATAGATCCATGTGGTAGAGCAGATTCTTAGTGCATGATACTTAATGATGCTTTTGTTTGAGAAATGAGGACTATGTAGAGAGATCTCTTGAGCGAGAGGGGTGGGGATTCTTAAGGCACTTGGAGGATTGGGTTGAATTCCATATCAGATACTTGAAAAAATATGCTGTGTAGAATGTCAAGTGGTTGGCCTTTATTCATAGGCTTAAATTTTTTGAGATGAAAATAAATATTTTTATTGGCATATATCTCTTAACTTTGGCTCCCTTTTGGATCTTGCCCCAGCAACCTTGCAAAGGTGTCCTTGCAAATAGATATTTAGAATTTCTTTGATTACTTGCCATTGAATAAACCTTTAACCTTGTTCATGAATGTATGTTGTGGGAATTCTGATTTTCAATTCTACTGTCTTTGAAAAAGGCGTTCAGGCTTGTTTGATGAGCTTGGAAAATAGATGGATGCGATTCCTAATGATGTAAGTATCATTTTTTTCACCATTTTTGTTTGGATGAGAACTACTTTCTGTACATGGCTAACTGGATGTGAAATGCATTCCAGTGAATACTGCCTGAAAGGTTGTCGTGGGCCTACACTGAAGCAACAATACGCTTCCTGTCTATCAATGTTGCCCTTTCTCCTCGAAATTTTTCGAGGCCAGTGTTTAACCAAACTCACGACAATGTCTCTTTACCTTCCCAGTGATGCATGTAGATTAGTGGGCCTTAGCTGTTGACATTTCATGTCACTCACTAGTCAAATCAGCTAATCAGTTGTCTAGTATCATTTTTAATGAGAAAAAAAGATCGAATTAGTCCACTAACTTTTTCTAGAAGGCTAAAATAATCCCCGATTATATAAAAGTATCAATTGGGTCCCTCAACTCTTTAGATAGAGACCAAATTAGTCATTCTATGAGATTATTTATGTTCCTATTTCAAAAGTCAAGTGACTAAAATGAGACTTTTAAATATTCGGGGATCATTTTGATCCTTTGTAAAGAGTTGGGGATGATTTTGATCCTTATCTCCATTTTTAATCAACTTAATAATCAACATAACTACTAATAATGTTGCATTAAATTTGCATATGCATGTAATTATTGCCTTTTAATGCACGCTGATAGCGCATGGTTAGTGATAATTAAAGCTAAACAAGTTACAGCACTTGCCTGATTTGCATTAAATGATAAAAAGAATCAGGAAATGGTTTTTTTTTTTGTTTGGTTTGATTTACTGCTGTTTCCAACACCTAGTTTTTGCTATTTCCTCTGGCGTTTCATGCTATTCCTAGTTTTCTGCTAATGACATTTTTTTCTTGCCCGCTTGCGTGCTTTGCCGCCTCAACTATTTTGTCGATTCTACTGTGCTGCCTTATTTTTCCCCGCTACCGCTCGTAACTTCCTATCTGTTTTTTTATATTTTGTTGGTTTTATAAGCATTCTGGAAGTAGAATTTTGGCAACGACTTGAAACTTGTGGTTTTGAGTAGAGCTTGACAGATTTTTTGTGAGTTATATTTTTGGTCATTTGTGGGCTACAGATAGGATGAGGGGGCTTGTAAAATTCATTGAACATGAGTAGTGAAATGAAGTTTTATTTTTTCCTCTGCTTTATCCATATGCTGGTTCGATGTGCATTTTTCAACTGCTTTTGAGGCGTTGACGATTTCATCTGAGGAGAAACTCTTTAAAGAATAACGTTCATCTCTTTCAAACTCAAACCGGTCCGCACATACGACGAGGAAATGATTTGGTTTATGTACTGTACTTGTTTTCTGTAGAAAGCTCTCCAATCAAGATTGAGGAAAATCTTGCCACATAATGTGCGTTTTATTCTGAATTCATTTACAGGACTCTTTCCAGAACCTATTCTTTAATGGACAGTATACATTTATGTCAGTTAAAAAATAATGTTCATCTCTTTCAAACTCAAACCGGTCTGTACATACGAGGAGGAAAAGACTTGGTTTATGTACTGTACTTGTTTTCTATAGAAAGCTCTACAATCATGATTGAGGAAAATCTTGCCTCATAATATGCGCTTTATTCTGACTTCATTTACCCGACTCTTTCCAGAATCTATTCTTTAATGGACAGATACGTCTTGGTATTTGAGCAACAAACATTTTGTGGTCTTAAAATGTTGGTCTGTTAGATATCTTCTGCAGCTCAACTACTTGAGTTTTTCTCTCATATATGGAAAAAACATCATGTGCTTCATTGATAAATTTTTAAGGCTTTAGTTCTTGTTTTATGGTCACCTCCGTAGAAATGTTTCAACACTTTGATTTGATCACACTAGTGATGTTGCTCCTTCGCTGAAAGAAGGAACAGTACTTGTATTTCTTATACCTCAATTTTTATAATGACCATACTATTGTGGAACAGACAAGGATCTTAGCTATGATCATCTTGCTCTTGGTCTAAAGGAAGCTTTGCAGAATGACAAGTCTGCCTTGGATGCAGATCGTTTACAGAGTTACACTGGTACTGCCCTCCTTCAGAACTTGGGATTCCTACCACTCATGATGGAAAATTTTTTTTTTTGAGTTCCATCATTTTTGTGTTTCTAATATTTTTTCTCTGGTCCTTTACATTTATTTTTGGTAGTTTGACATGCTATTTTGTACATTGAATTGTAGTGATGCTTGTCTCCCACTTCCAGCATTCAATTATTGTATATAAGCTTGTAAGCTAACATTTAAGTTATTCTTAGGTCCTGAACTTCGTGAGATGTTGAAATGGCCGCGTCCACTTCCGTTGGAAGATGAGCGGGCACGCTTGATGCATGAGGTTCATTTCTTGAAATTCAACCTTTCTCTCCATGATTGCATTTCTGAAATGCTTGATGAACTTCTGTATAAATGCTTATAATTAGTATACCATCATAAGTGCTTTTGTGTCTCCTCCATTATCTATAACGTGCACTTGAAAAAGATTTTCTTCAATCACTTATTTTGTTATGTTTTTTTGCAATCCATGGTATGATTAAGAATATTTATTTCTAAGGTTGTGCTTGGATGCTTTGAATATGACTGAAAAGAACTAAAAAATAAAGTTTTAGAAGGTCCAATGAATGACTGTGGATTCATAATAAACCCATATAATTTTTTATTTGCATTTCATTTTCTTTACTTTCCTTCAATACGAACAAATTCTGAATTTTTGAAACACTTCTAGCTCCATGCACTGTTAATATACCAACTTTAGGTGTGTTTAAATCATCTCCATAATCTTTATTATTTACATCGAACTGTTTATCCCTTCAATGGCTTGTTTTGTGGTTTTTTGCAATCCATGATAATTCTTACTTGGTATATTTGGATTTAACCTTCTGCAGAATATCTACCAGTAAAATCTATGTTTGCTGTAGGTTGGTTTAGAGCTTGACAGAAGCTTTGGTGGAAAGGCTACTAACCTTGTAAAAGCCTCTGGAAACTCTGCTCTATCTCTCGTTGCCCTTGTTACAAAACATTTTCCGGGTAAGGCTTTCTTCATCTGCGTGCTCTATGTTCCATTTTTAGCGAATTACATCCATGAATGGTCTTTACTTTATAGAAGGAAAATTTTGGCTATGCAACTATTAAAGTAGTTGAGCCAGATTAAGAATATTTGTTTCTGGGTTTTCTCCACAATCTTATTTGGCTAGAATTTCAGAATTGCATGCTCTATGGCTCGGCAGCTTGATATATACAGTTTCATTCTTCTTAATAAGTAAACTGCTTTTTTGGATTTTTGTTGCTTTTCTCCCTTGAGGGTTGAGATTTGTCATTAATGCATTGTAAGTCACATCTAATGATGTAGGACATCTTAGGTATAGGACTTCTAATATTGATCTTATATGAGATGAAAAGGAACCATGCAATAATCAGCCAATCTACAGGAAATGAACTGTTAATCCTCATACAATGTTTACTACATTTGATGAAAATAAAAAATACAATAGAAATCAACTCAGGTGAAATTTCAATGTCCTACTAGAAATAATGTCTAAATATTCAAGATAAAATAAATCACATGAAATTTTTGAAATTCACTCTTTTGTTGGAAATCAAATTATACCAGATCAATCACAATCTCATGCCAATAACAAAAATTTGAAGAAGCGTCAACACGAGGTAAGGAAATCACTAAAAAGTAAACCTCTTTCTTGTGCAAGAGGATAACCTCTTATGAAATTCTTCAAATCTCTTGCTTGATCAAGGAATTGAATATTGAAAGATGAAGGAATGGAGCATCCAACAAAATTTTTGACTTTGGTACATGCTTAAGCTATTTAGAGACTCGATCATGATGAGATGACCAATTCATCCCTTCACTTCCAAGAAGTCCATAAGAAGTTTCTTACATGGTTTGAGCATCAAATCCTAAAGAGATGAGGTGATCAAGGCAGTTGATTTTAAACCATCCAATTATGAGAGATTGTTGATGGCGATGGTTCTTTGATCAAGTCGAATAAGGCATTTCCAAAAGTACATAGGAACGATCAAATCATTATCGATACATAATATTGAGGGAGATCATTTCCCTGAGCATTGGATTAGTGATTGGAAATAACCAGGACAACACATGGAGTGCTGGCTAACTAGGATAAGTCTTGACCGACCAACCTTGGGGTTGGATTAGGATAAAGATTGTTGTTTTTTTTTTCTTTTAAATTTGATGTTATATAGTTATTTGTAGATAGATTTTTCCCCTTTTATGAATTTTGTTTATATTTTATCTGCTATTTTAATTGCTTATATATATAGGCCCTAATCAAACAATAAAATTCATGAAATTATCTCCTAAATCATCTTTTCCTCTCCTCTCCTCCAACCCCTGGCTTCCTTTTTTCCTAACTTCATTGGCCTCCCTTGCTTCATCCTTTTATTGCAACAGTTGAAGATAGGCCGTATTGCTTTGGTCACTACCCTTGAGATTCAAAGGCTATGAAATATCACGTTTGTTGCCATTTGGCAATCTTGAGGCTGGGGTGTAAATGAGTCGAGTTGAGTTCAAGTCATAGTGATCTCGAGCTTGATTTGCCTCTCTCAAGGTAGGTCCTTGAGCTTGAGCTCATATGTTAACTAAGAGCTTAGGTATTTGTATCTTCATAAAGCTCGAGCTCGACTCGTGACCTCAAGTTGGCCCCCAAATTTCTGAAACCCTTGTCAAAAAGAAGCAAGGAAGTCGTAATAGTAGCTCGTTGGAGAGGGCAAAGTTGCATTAGGAGCTCGCTAGAGAAGATGAAGTCATTAATAAACTCATTGGAGAAGGCAAAGTCGTGGCTTGAGCTTATTGCAAGTGTATCACTATTGGAGTTAGTTGGGGAAGGAGAAGTCATCATTGAAGCTCATTTCAGAAGACGAAGTTACTACTAGAGCTTGTTGGAGAGGGCATTAATGATAAGAAAGTGACGGCAAGAGTTTGTTGAAGGTGCACAAGAAAATTTCGATGGGTGCTCGTTGTGGCTAGCTAGTGGTATTTGTATGAGAAGAGATGTTTGGGAATTGAGATTTAACATAAATTGGTGTCGGAAAAACTAATGATTTACGATTTATTTAAATTGCCTTTTGATTCAACATCTTGAGTCTCTTTAAGCTTGTATAGTATATGAGTTATAATTTGATTTTTTTGAGTTTGATCTTGTGGTTGAGTTTGATCTTGTGGCTTAATATGCTCGACTCACGAGCTCATCAATGAGTTGAGTTCAAGCCAATTTGCTAGTTGACTTGGCACACTTACCCCTATCGTGCTCTGTTATTAGGCAGAATCAAGCTTTCGCTATTGAAAATTTCAGAAAGAATAAGCAGAAATTTGAAAAAAATTCTTTGGCAAATCAATAGGGAAATGTAATAATATATGAAAAGTGGAAGAAACAAGTAAGATATAATGGATCTTCAATTCAAGTTGAAGATCCGACTTTCGTAATCTCTAGCCGGCGGCTAGAGCCCAAGTAAACATAGAGAACTCATAAATTCATCAAAAACATAAATAACCTAACATTTCCCTCATATTTAGAGAACACAAATAAAAGCATAATTACTAAACAAACATTCTCAGAATAAATTCTCTCATAAACTGCCCCTTCATATTTGAATTTGTTACCAATCCACAGGCCCCTCAAGGGGGCGGCAGTTTTCTTGGTCCACCTGGAATAAACCAGGAACCGGCCCTGGTGCTGGGACGGCTGGACCAGTCTAACAATACCCCTCCCACATAATCACCTTTTATGAAAACTGGTGCTTCATCCTCTCATACGGCTCCCAAGTAGCCTCATACTCCAGTTGATTTTCTCACCTAATCAGCACTTCTTTACTTCCTCCCTCGCCCTATCGTACTCCTACCAACTCCAATGGTTCCAAAATCACCTCCAAATCCTCTGTCAACGTCGCTGGTAACTCTACAGTTGAGGTGTGATTTCTTATAGCTCTCCTCAATTGTGAGACGTGGTATACCGGATGTATGGTCATGGTCAGAGGTACATTGGTCGATACGCTACTGCTTCGATCCTCTCCACCATCTCAAAAGGACCCTAGGGCCAGCTTCTCATTCCTCCTACTAGCCATGATTCTCTATTTGTAGGGACGAAGCTTCAAAAACACCCTATCTCCTACCTCAAATTGAATCGTTCCTATGCTCATTTGCCTGCCTTTTCATAATCAACGTAGCTCTCTACTGATGTCTTTTCAATTCATCTAGTATCCTATCCCGCTCTTCCAGGTACTACGCCACTGAAAGACTAATGTGCTACTCTTTCCAAAGTACACCAAGTGAGGCGATTCCTGTTGTACAACACTGTAAAAGGAGTCATCTTGGACTCCGAATGGTATGAAGTGTTATACCAGTACTCTGCTCACGCCATCCACTTAGCCCATAACTGAGGTGTCTCTGAAGCAAAGCATCACATATATGTTTCCAAGCTTTTATTGGCCACCTCCTCTGGCCATCTATTTGAGGGTGGTAAGCGGTGTTCCTCTTCAGCACAGTCCCCTATAACTTGAATAACTCCCTCCAAAAGTAACTGAAGAATATCTTGTCTCGATTGGACACTATAGACTTTGCTATCCTGTGTAATTTGATCACCTCTCTAATAAAAGCCAACGTCTCTGTTATTGCCATGTAAGTATGTCGTAGAAGAATGAAATGAGCATATTTGTTTAGCCTGTCTACCACCACTAGAATAACTATAAACTCCTCCGATCGGGGTAGCCCATCTATAAAATCCATAGAGACCTCTTCACACACTCTGCCTAGAAGTATCAAAGGTTGTAGTAGCCCCCTTGGAGCCATAGCCATATAGTTGTTCCTCTGGCAAACCTCACACTTGGCCACCATCTCCTCTATATCTTTGTGCATCCCCTTTCAATATAATTCAACAGCCAATCTCTTGTATGTCTTTTGTACGCCTGAGTGACCCCCAACAACGCTTCTGTGGAACTCTTGTAGCAAGTGCAAAATATTAATTAAGGTTTGTGGAAGCACAAACCTCCCCTTGGTATAGAAGTATTTCCCCATCTACTGAATAATGGCTACTCTTATCCTTCAGTAGATCCTCTCTGATCCTTCTCAGTTCATTATCCTGCTCACATTCTTCCATACTTCCCTCCCCCCCACCCCCCCAAAAAAACCAATATCAGCGGTATCGAAATGGCTATATTATGGAGCTTATCCACCGCCTTTTTTTCCAGCCTATCCTATACTGGATTTCAAAATCATATCCCAACAACTTGGACTACCACCTCTGATGCTTCTCAGTCACCAACTCACCATTATCTACTCTAGTAAATACTTCAAGTTCCGCTGGTCGGTCCTGACGATGAAATATTGGCCCAGCAAGTATGATCACCACTTCTGAATAGCCAATACAATGGTCATCAATTCCCTCTCATTGACTGGCTTCAGATTGAATCTGGTTGTCAACACCTAGCTGAAGTATGCTATGGGTCTGTGATTTTACATGAGCACCCAACCTATATTCTGAGGCATCAGTCTCTACCATGAACATCTGGCGGAAAACAGGTAGTGTCAGGACCAGAACTGTGGTTATGGCAATTTTCAATCTCTCAAAGGCCTGAGTAGTTGTCTCTCCCCACAAGAAGTGTCCTTCAGCTACTCTGTCAAAGGCCAAGTAATGGTGTTTTATCCCTTCACGAACCTCCTGTAGTACCCTGTCAATCCTAAGAAATCCCTTAGCTCCCTCAAGTTTCTAGGTAGAGGCCACTTCAACATTGCCTCAATCTTGGCCTTATCAGTGGCCACCCCTTTCTGTGATACCACATGCCTCAAGTACTCCATGTCGCTTGTGCAAAACAACACTTCAGATTGGCCCTCACCTGATGCTCCTATAACACCTCTAAGACCACCCTAAGATGCTCTAAATGCTCCTCACTGGACTTGCTATACACCAAGATGTCATCAAAGAAAGCCATAACGAACTTCCTAAGATAAGGTCGAAACACCTTGTTCATGAGGGACTACAAAGTAGCAGGAGCATTGGTGAGACCAAACGGCATCAGTAAGAATTCATAGTGTCCTTCGTGTGTCCTAAAGCTGTCTTCGGAACATCTTCCTCTTCCATCCGGATCTGATGATATTCGAACTTCAGGTTCACCTTTGTGAATATTGCATCTCCATAAAGTTCATGTAGTAGCTCATCTATCTTAGGAATATGAAACTTGTCTGGCACAAACTCCTTATTCAATGTCCGGCAGTCCACACAAAATCGCCAACTTCCATCCTCCTTTTTAACTAGTAGAATTGGGCTAGAAAAATGGCTCGCACTCGGCCTGATGATCCCTGCCTTTTCCATCTCTCAGATCAACTTCTCAATCTTATTCTTCTGGATTTGAGGGTAACAGTAAGGCCTGACACTGATTGGTGATACCTCACCCCCCCCCCCCCCCCCCCCCCCCCCCCCCCCCCCCCCCCCCCCCCCCCCCCCCCCCGTCTCCTCTATTGTAGCAATCCCTGATGTGGTTGAAAATCTAATGGAACATCTATATAACTGGCTAAACTAAAAGAGGGATGTCCCCCCTTCCTCCCCTCTAATCTCCTCCAAACTTTGTAGCTCCACTAGAAATCCTCCTCCCTCATGTATGGCTTGTACCATAGTTTTTAGTGACAACATGACTTTGCAGAGTCCTGCATCTCCTTTTATCACCATCCTTCTCCCTTCCACCATCAGCTTCATGGTCAACAGCGCCCAACTCACCTTGGTATCCCCCAAGGTCTGCAGTCATCTCATCCACAAGATGACGTCAGTGCTTCCTAGCTCCAATGAGAGAAAATCCTCCCTCACCTAGATCCCCTGTATGATCAAGACTACTCTCTTACACACCCCTCTACATGCTTCCATCTTCCCTATTCCCGCTTCTCCTGTACCTCTGCTTCTCTGAGTCTCTTGAAGTCCCCCCCCCCCCCCGGGGCGAACTCCACCGCTCTTCTCCCTAGTAGTTTCTCCCTAGAAAGATATTGTTTAGGTTTTGGGAGCTAAAGTTGTGGGGGTACTCCGATAGGCCTCTCCCATGGTGTTGCTTATGTTGGCATTTTCCTTATATTCCACCCTATGAGCCAGCTTTGTCTCTCTCATCGCCCTAGGCCTCAATACCCTATTTCTACCCGTATGTCCTCCCTAATCCCCTTCATGAAATTTTGTTCCAATCCTTCCTCAAAGATTTCCCTCAATCTCCCTGATAGCAACTCAAACTTCTCATGTTACTCCATAATTGTCCCTTCCTGAGTTAGGGCAAAGAATTGCTCGTGGAGGTCCCCTTCCCGGATGGCTTGGAAACGTTCCAACAAGCTCTCCTTAAATTCTCCCCATGAGTAGATCGGATACCTCGCCTCCCTCCATTGGAACCAGCCTAGGGCTTTCCCTTCCAAACATAGACCCGTCGCCATGAGTTTCTCTCCTTCAATCAGCCTACTGATGGCAAAGTAGCGTTCCACCCAGCACACCCAATCCTAAGCATCATCTCCTTAAAAAACTGACATCTTTAGCTTCCTTGACCTCGCATCCATACCCCAAATGTTTCTTCCCCTGTTACTTCCATCACTGTAGTGGTGGTGTGATTCTCTCCCTTTCTCTCTTAGTTGATTTTTACCCCATGGCTCCCGACAACCTTGCCCTTCTCCATTACACCTCTTCCCATGCCCGGGTAATCTCCCAAAAAGGTCGGCTTCCTTCCTCCTTGCTATCCTCCCTTCGGAATAACCTAATACACCCACCAACGGGGCTCGACATGGCAGTCCATGATGGAAAACACTCTCCAATTCATCGCCATCCTCCTGGATCTCTTTTCCTCGTGGTTCCACCCTAGGAGTCGCCGGTGATGCCTTCGATTACATCTCAACCATCTTTTTCATTCTCTTCAAAGTTCCCAAAGTGGTTCTCGATGGTCGAGAGTTTTCCCTCTACTCTGAATGCTTTTCCTCTACTCCAACCTTGAGTTGTTTCATGTCGCACTCAAACACATCCATCTTCTTTACTGCCATTAATTGGATCTAGGTTCCAATCACAAAAACAGTGAAGAAAACTTGTTTTTCCGCCCAAGAAAGCGTTATGTTGCTAATTTGTTAGGGAACGAGTGCATTAATCATCAAAATAGTAGCTGAAATTGGGAATTTCAGCAAGGTCAAGCATAAATTTGAAGAAATTTCTTGGCAAATCAATAGAGAAACTTAATAATAGATGAAAAGTGAAAGAAAACAAACAAGATATAATGGATCTTCAATTCGAGAGGAAGATCAGGCTCTCCTAATCACTAGCCGGCGGCTACAACCCAAGCAAACCTAGAGAACTCCTAAATTCATAAAAAACATACATAACCCTAACCCTAATAATTTTCCTCCTATTTAGATAATATAAATAAAAGCATAATTACTAAACAACCCTTCCCAGAATAAATTCCCTCCTAAATCACCCCCTCCTATAAGGGATTTGATAACTCTACCTTTCTGAGATTGATCACCAAGCTGGGAATGATGGATATGTATTCCCCATTTTGAGGGGAGTGTTAAAACCCAGCCGTCCCTTAGCATTTTGATCCCACGGCTAGGATGAGAATCCGTGGGAGGTTCATCTATTAAATCCTTGCCGTTCACTTGGCATTTTGATCACACGGCTAGGATGAGATTTTGTGGGAGGCTCACCTAGATCATGCTGATCTCCTTCTGTATTTAGGCGGCTAATTTATGAAGGATTATATTATAGCAATTATGCATGATTCTATAATTATTTATTTCTTTATTAAGATATCTTGTATAGATCTATAAATAGGGATAAATTTGTATACTAAAATTAAGTCTTTTCCCTCGTCAATTCTAATAGAAACACATTTTGTTATACTATTTCCCCATGTCCTATCCAACTTTACTGCATCATTTTATATGTTGTTCTTGCATAGAGTTAATTTTCAGCTGACTTACTTTTCCTGAAGGTTTTCGGGATCATTCCTTATACAAGGGTCACCAGGTCTTCTTTAACAAGAGAGCACAGATTTTTGTGGCCGACTTATGGAATGCTTTTAAGGGAAAAGGATTTGGTGGCTTCCATGATATAAGTTCCATAACGATCTTCGCTGATTATATTGTTCCTGCCGTACTCAGGCAACTTGGTATTCTAAAATACAGTTTGTCTTTATCAACCTCTGTTGATTCTAATAGTGAAATTGGTTCCGGTACTGAGGAGGAAGTTGAGATTCGTGCATGTTCGATTTATGCTGTTGAAAAGATGAGAGAGCTCTTAAAATCAAAGTATGGGAAGCAGGTAAACTCCTACGTATTTTTTTCTTTCTTCATTAATTTGTAATTCGAAGCCAATCTTGATTTTATCTTTTATATATGCTTTATTTTAGCTGCTTCATGTGCTGAGTTTGCCTGTAAATTTTGGGACAAGATCAGCATACCTACCTAGTACCAGTTTGCCCTGAATTCGAATCTTGGAACTGATATAGCACGTTAAAACCTTGTTCATCTTCTTCAAAGTTTACTCAATTTCATGTTTTTAATTACACTCTTAACTAACTAGGGGTGTCAATAATTGACACGACCCCCGAAAACCCGACTCGAATCCGATCCGAAAATTTCGGTTTAGGTCAACCCGGACCCGAAATGGGTCGGATTCGAGTTCAGCAAATCAACCCGTTTCAAATATCGGGTCGGGTTCTGGTTCACTCAATAACCCGAAATTGACCCGTTTTCGACCCGAAAATCCTTTTGACTCGAAAACCCATTTTTGACCCGAAAATCGGAGATTGACTCATTTCTTGGCCCAAAAACCAGCATTTTTTGGTCGGTCATGGGTCATTTGGGTCGTTTCAGGTTGAGCTGGACCCGAAGCGGGTCAAGTTTGGGTCCAAAAAATCAACCCGTTTGAAAAAACGGGTCGGATTCGGGTTGACTCGAATAGTGTCGGTCAGTTCCGAGTTCGACCCGAACCCGACCCGTGACCCGAAATTGACACCCCTACTCTTAACCCAATTTCTTTCTTTCTTTCTTTCTTTCTTTCTTTTTTAACCCAATTTCTTTCTTGAAGCAACCTTCTAATAATTTCTTAAGATAACCTTTTTCATCTTTAATTGAAGTCCATGTATAATCCATCTAATTTTTTTCCAAGTTTATGGATGTTCTAAATCTTTCTTTCATACCTTTTACCATATAAATCATCAAGAATTTTTATTTTTATTTTGTCAGTTATTTTCCTCTCAAAAACATCTAGCTTACTTTATTTTAGAAGCAAGTTTTTATGCCTAAATGATCTTATTTTATTTCTCCTCATTCCAAAACTAGGTTTCTTTATTTACGTAGGATCAACTTCTTGATACTCCTACATGTTCTTGATGCATATAACCATCCTATTCCATATCAAATATTTCTTTATCAATTATCATAACAAGTTATACTGTAAGGTTCACAACTTTGTTAGATTTATGGACCCAAAATTTCCTTCTATTGAGACTTTTTTTATTATTTTGAGATCCTCACTTGTTTGCAAAGATTTAATTGGGATTTAAAAAGATATGGTTAGATCTTTTTAGAGGCTGTGATATTTTGTATTGACTTTTGGTTTTGTTTGGGTTTATACATATAGCTTGATTGTACTATAAATACAATATTGAATGGTTAGATGAGGGATATTCAACAAGAAAGTACCATAAAATAGTCAAATATCCTAGGTCAAATTTTCTCCCTCAAATTTTTATATTGGGCACCATTTTTTTGATGTTTTCAAAAAAAAATTATGTTGGATAGAAAAGAAAATTTACCTACACCAACTTTATAATCATTTTTATAAAAAACTACAGTCTTCTCAGACAGATCACAAGTCTTTAATTCCGGACCTTTGTTGTATGAATGGATTCTCTCTAACAAATTAGATTTTAATTTAATGGGAAATATAATCGTTTTTTAATTTATTATAATACCATTGACCCTGATTATTTATTTATTTCTTTAATTTTTTTATTTTTTTGGAGTTGCAGGTCTTGAGTTTGGAATTAGATCTTTGGCTTTGGTGTTTTGGCGTTAAGGATCCATCTCTGAAGCATCACCGTACGCTTTCTATTTACTATTGACTTTATCTGAAGCAGCATCCTCAACAGTTAACACCATTTTACGAAGTTCAAACTAATCTTTGTTTTAGTTCTGTAGCTGTGGCAGATTGGCAAATCCTTAGCCAGAAAGCCAAGCACTTGGCTACTTTCTTGGCCCAACCCTACTCAGTAGTTTTGTTTTGCCCCCTTTTTTTTTTTAAACATTTGAGCCAATTAATTTAAACTCACACACACATCACATACGTAAGTTTCGAACTCAAGATCTCTTAGGCTTCGTTTGGGACGCCTTTTTTATTGCTTCTTGAAGCAGCTTTTTAGTAAAAGCTGCTTCAAGAAGCAATAAAAAGGCGTCCCAAACAAAGCTTAGGTTTTGTTTGGGACGGTTTTCTTACTGCTTCTTAAAGCAGCTTTCTATTATAAAAATTTTTAATTTTTTTACTAAAAAGATGCTTTAAGAAGTAGTAAGAAAGCCGTCCCAAACAAACTCTTTGTTGGTAGTCAAAACTTTCAACCAACAGATCAAAGATGAGCTGTGTCTCAGTAGTTTTGTTGATGACAAGCTAATATAAGCATTAAGTTTTTTATTTTATTAGGTAATCTGGAATCAATGGATTTGCATTTCATCAGTGTCCCAGTTTGAAAGGTATGTCTGGTCCACAACCTTAGTGGAGCATTTCCATCTTTGTGAACTTCTTTTCCTTTTAAAAAAGTAAATTTTGTTTCCCTTTTTTTAATCACTGAAAAGGTTGATAACAAAAATAAAGAAAAGATGAGATGATTTTAGAAGTTTTTGGAACCAAAGAGTTGTAGTTGTAGAGGCATGATCTTAAAATTTCCCTTGATCTATATAGGTTTAGATTTTGTTTGGGATTGCTTTTTTAAAGCAATTTTCTAGTACAATTAGAAGTGATTATCACTTTATGAATAAGATTTCGTTTGGGACGGCTTTTTTATTGCTTCTTAGAACAGCTTTCTATCTTAAAAATTAAAATTTTTATACTAAAAAGTTGCTTTAAGAAACAGTAAGAAAGTCGTCCCGAATGAAATCGAAGTAAAAAATAGTAAAAAAATTATCCCAAACGAAATCATAAAGTTATTCATAATTAGAAGTAATTATCAGTTTCTGTATCATTTTTTTATTTTTAAGAGATGGGCAGTGCTCATAATAATATGACAACCCTTTTACTTGTCTTATTATTTGTCACATTTGCATGAGCTGGTATATATAGATCTGACGAGCCTTTTTTTAGTTGTTGGAAAAATGTCTGCGATTTTTTTTTTTAAATTCTTTTGGTGATTAGTTTTTTTTTATTACTATATTTATTAAAATATGATTGTTATATGAAATTTATTTTATTTTCTTAAGAAATTATAATAGTCATAATAATTTAAAATTATTTTCAAATATAATTATATAATTATTTTTATAAATAAATGAGAATATCAAACGGGTCTCTTTAATCTATTTGGTAGAATGCTCTGTATGCAATAGTATCCCATTCAAGCACTGATAGCCCACTTGAAAGTTGGAACTATTCTGCCATACCATATCATAAACAACTTTAATTATTGGTCCGATTTGTTTTTATGGCATTTTGCTTTTAAACAGAGGCCTGTACTTCCTCTACGTTCCATTTCTCTCTCTAGTCCCCCTTCTCTCTCTCTTTGGAGAAATTATTTCGTGCAGAGTCTGGACAATTTCGTCTGAATTGGGAGTGTACACATTGTGATATTTTGTACAATTTTTATACATAGTTTGATTCAAATTGTGTGCATATAGTATGTACACTTACAGTTCGGATTGAAAACAGAGCCCTGCATTGGGTACTCATATCCACACCCACTCACGTACCCACTCATACCCAATGGGCATGGGTGGGTACTCAACATCAGAGGATAAATTAATTTACATTACTAATTACCATATGCATGCAGTATATTACAGTAATCCTTACAACGTAGTATGTAACATTGAATCGCATTGTGAACACGATAAATTTTGATACGTGGCTTGAAAATTTGCAGTTATAGAAATGACAAAAAACTTGAGGCCATTAATCCGTGGCAGAATGCATTCAAGAAGCGTGAAAAGTGGGTGGGCGTGGGTGGGTATGACATCTCGAAAGTCACCATAAGTGGGCATGGGTGGGCAAAGACCGCTAGCGCAGAGCGTGGGTACCCAATGGGTATCCAACCAGGACCTCGTGTATGGCTCTGATTGAAAAGTTCCATCTAGACTCCGCATGAAATAATTTCTCCTCTCTTAGAAACGAGCCATATTATCTGAGCCATATTATCTAATTTAGCATATTTGCTTTTTTTCACATGCTGGTATCTATCAATGCATCTACATCAATGAATACACAAAATAATACAAAAAATATTAAATAGAAGTATATTTAACTCATCCGTTGAATTTTTTATATCAAACAAGCTTAAAATTTGAAGGGTTTGTTTGGGGAGAAATTACTACTTTCGAAGTACAACAGTGTTTTATACCAGTCAGAAAGGGTCATGTCATCTTTATATAGTGTGTGTATTATATACACACTATATGTAAGGTTGTATATATATACCTATTTTGATTGCAGTCTAGATGCAAGCTGTGTTAAAACTCTGCATATAATAATTTCTCTTGTTTGGAATATTTATAGCATTTTATAAAGTTTAGGGTTAAATTATTGTAGAGAAAATAATTTTATTATTATAATTATAGAAAATAAATTTTATCATAAATGTTTTAAAAAAGTAATAAGAAAATAGTAATCAAATAAAAATATAATTGAGTTTCTAAAAATAAAATAGCAAAAATAATAATATATAATTCTTAACGAGTCTTGAAACTCATCAACCATCAACTAGCTTGCTTCTTATAAACTATTTTGAAGCTTTAATTTTATATTATAAGATGGCGAATAGACGACTAAAATAAGATTGAGGCTATCTTCAGAAGTAGAAAGTGCTTTCCCTTTGCCTTCCACTTGCAATTGAAAATTCTCTACTGCTTCTCTTTGCCACGGTTTCATTGAACATAACCTGCCTCATGATCAGATAATGCATGTTTACCTGCCACCTTAATATCTTATTCTTAAATCATTAAAGTAATATATTTTTTCTTTATATTTGCATATTATTATATAATATATATATATATATTATATATTGTGAATGGGGTATATACCTTTGTCGTTAGGTGTCAATTTTGGTCACGGTTGGTTTGGGTCGAACCACGATATTGACCTATGCTATTCGGGTCAATCCGAACCTGACCTGTTTTTATAAATAGGTCAAAACATTCAATCTAACCCGATCCTCGGTTTCAGTTGACCGCCCGACACGATAACGGGAGGAACTCCGTTGAAGCCGCAAGAGTTCGGGTTAACCAGCAGCCGGTGCGTAAATGGGAGCCTCCGTTGAACGGAGGAAGAAAAGACGGCGTCGAGCTCGTCTCGTCGATTGGACTGGAACGTCTTCGACGACTCAATGGAGGGAGAGCGGGGTCGCGAGACGGTTGAGCAGCGGGTCACAGGGTCAGTGCGTCCGACAAATTGGCCGATCGACGCGACGTTCGACTACGGGATGACGCGACGCAGACGCTTGACTGCCTGAGCTAATGCGATTTGACGATACAAGACGCAGTCCACGCGGAGGCTGAGCTGAGCGACGCGAGATGACGATTGACACAGACGACTGAGCTGACTTGGACGTGATTTCCGTGTCAGTACGGGTCAATGTCGGGTTTCTGGGTCAACTCGGACCCGACCCGTTTTTTCAAACGGGTCAAAACCTTTAACCTGAACCTGACCCGATTCGGGTTCGGGTTGACCCGAACTCGAAATTTTTGTGTCGGGTTCGAGTCAGGTTTTCGGGTTGTGTCAAATATTGACACCCCTAATTGTCGTCCGCTTAGGAGACAATTGGCTGTGTAATTAATCTCTCGGCTGACCTAAAAAGGCAACCGCCTCGTAAATCTTCTGTCCCGTACTTAATTGGGTCCCACTAAAGATGATTCAAGCACGGGTTGGGGGTTACCAACCGTGCTCGCCCACCAATCAAGCTAAGCAATGGTGGGTCTTTAATTATATTTATAAAAATTCTAGAGAGAGAGAGATGCTTGCTGTATGGAGGAAAGGGTAAGGGGAGCAATAATTGGTCCAGATTGGTCTGTCTGACCCCATTAAGTGGTTATCCAGTTTTCAGTAGTTTGGCTGAGATTCTCAACTTGCTGTCATGGGATTCAATGATTGCTCAGTTTTTGACTTTTTGTTGCGCCTCTCCACATATAATATAGAAATGTTCTTCTACTATAACTATAGATATGTCTCATGATAATAAGGTAGAGTAGAGCATGTGTCTCTCTTTATTTATGTATATATTTGTTAACTAATTATAATTTTTAATAATCATAATTTATAAAATATTTAACATTCATTTTTAATGTATTTCAAATTCATTTGATACGAGAGAATTTTAAACGTACAATGTGCGAAGTTTTGTCTATTGATGATAAGCCTAACGAGAGAATTCGTAATGAGAATTTCTAGGAGACGGCATCAGGATACCATCAGAGAAATTATTATGGGAACTCGTAGGTGAAAGCATTGATGTGATCGATGACATTTGTAGAAGAATAGGAAATTATATGAGTTACACATTCAAGTTAATGCCCAAATGAGTAAACTCATGAGCTAACTAGTCGAGCCTGATTAACCTTGAACTTGAGCTCGGATGATAGATTAGTTATGATATAAGCTTGAGTTCAAGCTCAAGACTCAATAATCTTGACTCATGAGCTCATTAACGAGTCAATTTTAAGTTGACTCATAAGTTGGCTTCTCTTACACAATTATTCTCCTCCATTAGGCTAAAATTTTGCAACCACTCCTTAAAGTTTGGATAAGATAATTTAGATTTTACAAGGGCAAAAAACTTATAAAGTATTTCTTATAAATTTTGATATAAGGAATATTTTTTTCATATCATAAAATTTTTAGATATTTATATATCTAACACTTAAATTTTATTTTTACTTATATAATATTTAAATTTCTAAATCATCTATAAATATCACTAATATTAATTTATTTAAAATAAAATACAAATTTTTCATTCATAAAATTTAGTTTAATTATAGTAAAGTGAAATATAAATAAAAAAGTAGATATTAAATATATAAATATATGAAAAAAAAATTCATCACACACACACACACACACACACACACACACACACACACACACATATATATATATATATAATATTGATATGTCAACAAAAAATTATCTTGATCAAGCACAAATCTCAAGGCAAAATTAGGTTGAAAGCTTCAAAAATTAAATTTGGGACCATCTAAACTCCGATTTCAACAAACTTCTAGTCTAACTGGGCGTCCAAAATGATTCAAATCAAAGACCCGAAGCACATTTGAATTACCAAACGGTTTCCAAACATGGCATGCTTATAGTCGAATCAAGCGGCTCGACAAGATGAATCCAACGAGACCCAGATCGCCAAATTCTGATATCATTAAGACCTTCAAATGTCTGACGAACGGTCTACGATCAAGGGATTCAATATCATTCTTCCATTCAAATCACTCACAATTTAATCCTGATCTTCCTCCTATTTATTGGTCATGCCATCATCAAAAAATTATAAATAGCTACTCATTTCTCTTAAGAGGATACCCAAGAAGAGAAGAGAATGAATAAAAGTAAGTGAAGGAAGAAGCTCCTCCTCAATCACCGCCGGACTTTACCCAACAACCAACCAACGTCTGAATTAAACAAGGAGGCAAGAAGTGAATGAAGAAGAGAAGGAGGAGGCTCCTTCACGACCACCATCGGAGTTCCGCCCGAACTCCAAGTGGCGCCGGAGTTCCGCCCGACCTTCACCTTTATGTTAAAAAAAAAAAATTGCCCTTATGTTTTTTGTTAAATCTAATGGCCACATATGTCTTAACATAGTTAAAGTCACCGGTGGTGAGCAGTAACTATGGTTTTGATTCGAAAGTAGTTGCTGATCAGTAGGCCCCACTTCACCATTAGCAGTCGCGGAGACACGGAACCGCTCTCTTCCCGATCCCATCACCTTGGAACTTCTTATCTCAAGCCAAAGTTCAAACCTGACTAGAGTTACTTTAACACAAACCTTGGTTAATTTAACCCTTGTACACCTCTTATATATTGCCAGCTCCTGACTATCTTCTTCCTCCATCCACTCTCTTCCTTGCTCCCCAAGCCAATTCAAAACTAGCAAAAATCTTCAATAAAAAAATCCCGACGTATTCTTCATAGATAGATGATCGATCGGAGATGAGCTGCAATGGTTGTCGAGTTCTCCGCAAGGGATGCAGCGAATCCTGCATCCTACGGCCGTGCCTTCAATGGATCGAGAGTCCGGAAGCACAGGGCCACGCCACGGTCTTTGTTGCTAAGTTCTTTGGCCGCGCAGGTCTCATGGCCTTCATCTCCGCCGTCCCTGAACAAAATCGCCCGGGTAAGGACGTCAAATACCTAACCCTCACTTGGAAACATATTTCTAACCGATTTTGTCCTGTTCGATCAGCTCTTTTCCAATCTCTGTTATTCGAAGCGTGCGGGAGGACTATCAACCCGGTAAACGGAGCGGTGGGTCTCATACGGATGCGGAGATGGAACCTATGTCAAGAGGCGGTGGAGACGGTTTTGCGAGGCGGGACGATCCGCCCGATCTCGGACCTCGCGGAGGACAGCGCAGTTGACGATGGTGAAATCGATGAGAAGCGACCGAAAACCCCTTTGATTGGAGATCGCCGGTCTCAGGTGAACTGTGATCTGGAACTTCATCTTAGGTTGCCGCTGATGGAAGAGAAATGGAGGCCAGGTACGCCATCGAAATGGAGGCCAGGTACGCCATCGATGAACTCTAGTACTACCGGCGATGATGATGGGTTTGTTGATCGTGAGCAGGGGCTTTTGAATCTCTTCGTCTGATGTGGGTCGGTGGGTGCGTTTCACGGTGAGAAAATGCGGCTGCCTTTTTTATTTTTTATTTTAAATGATATTTACCCTCCTCTTTCTTTCCGTATGAGAAGTGTGGTTTCCATTGAGTTTCTTTGTTTCTCCGAAACATGGGCCTCGGTTACCCCACATGATCAAATTGCATGCCCCTAAATGATTTTTCTCAGGGAATTTGGTTAATGTATTTTCTCCATTGGGATTGATGGACAAATTTTGGATTTGAACGTCTTAATACAAATTGAGATGATCAGGCCTTCTTTTTTTAGTTAATTTGTTTCCAATCTATTCTAAATGATTGTGATCAATTCCTTTATAATCCTTTCAAAACCCCTTTGGTTTAAGAGAAATGATATTGGATTGTTATCAGCCATCCAAACTTGATTGGAATTTTGAGATTGATAACTGCGCCATAATAAGTGGCTAGAATTCAAAGCCATGGTTACGAGATAGAGAGGGAAGAGATTAAACCAGTAGAGAAATGAGAAATGAGAGATTCAATGGATCAAAGATCAATCAGACAGACGACTATGGATTTGTAATATCTCCAATTATCCTGTGTTATTGATATCTATCGTTTATTTTATTTTATATGATTGAGATTATTGCCTGCAAAGGTCGAATTGATGAAGAGCTACTTGAATAGCAATCCGCATGCAGTCAGATAAACAAAAAGAACATGGAATATAATATAGTTCATGTGCAAATTTTTCAATGGCAGCATTTGATTCATTGATAAAAAAAAATTGAAGAGATTATGAAAATTTTTTATTTAGAAGCGCTTCAATTTCCAAACGCTCCAATTAATCTTTTTTACAAATTGACAACTATTTTCAATTCTTTTATTTCTCCAAAAAGTTGGACATAAAATTTATTTGCAAATTGACAAATATTTTCAATTTGGAATGATTATTCTCCGAGCTGATAGAGTTGAACATGCATCTTCTAGGCAAAAGCATCCATAGATGAACTCCTTAACCATCTCCAAAGTCCAACCAAATAACTCATTTTTCACTCAAAAATGTAGAAACTCTATTTTTTAACCCAAAAAAAATTATGTATATTTTTATCTTTATTTTTAATCATATCTTTATATTTATTAATTTTTTAAATTAGATTTACATAATTAAATATAATATTTTTAATAAAAAAAATCTTGATAAATTAATCCAAAATGATTAATAATAAGAACCTAAATAACTGAATTTTTTGAATTTCTCAAAAGAAAGGCGGTGCTGTGGGCCCAACGCTTTGCAAACGAACGGTGGAGATCGTTTAGAGGACCGACCACTTGCGGTTGCCTTTTTTTTTTTAACCAATCCAACTTATTTATTTTATATGCAATTTTTTTTTTAAATTTATTCTGCTCTATTTGAAACAATCAGAGATAAGAATGTCCATATTATGATATTAAATTTCATCTATATTAAGAAAAGATAAAAATATATCTAAATGTGTAAATTAGTTTTAGCCTAGTTCAAATCACTCCTAATTTGTGCTTTAATTTGGGACAATTTTGTTACTCATTTATTTTTTGAAACTCAATCACAATTTTTATTAGGCTATTATTTTATCGTTATTTTCATAAATTTTTTATTCTAAAAAATTATTTTTTACAGTAACTTTCAAAAAAATTACTTTTTCAATATTGCTTTTTTTATCACCTTTGTCATAAGCTATGACCATCTCAAATAAGCAGTAAGTTCAAACTTGAATTTGATTTCAGTTCTACAATTTCAAATCAACTCACAAATTAGCTCACAAACTAAAAAATTACGTCAAAATTAACTAAAACTTAACTTGTAATCACAAGTAAAAATTTTGATTCAATTATATTTCTCCCAACATTAGCTTCCAATAATTTTTTCTCTCTCAAATTATTAAGTATTAACTACTTGTTAATTATCTCTCTTTCTCTCTCTTCCCCCAGCTCTCCCCCCCCCCAACTCTCCCTCAGGAAAAAATATTTTGTGCGGACGCCGAACGTCATCTTGAGACTAATCAAAATGTACCATGTCACCCCTTCCATCTGTGCCGTTACTTCATACTGCTCGGTACCGCTGACATCTCCTGAAGCAGAGCTGTGTTCGACCTCCACATAGAATAATTAATCTATTATCTTAGTTGATGGTCGAAGCTCCGAACTAACATATGAAGATAGAGATGCATCTCTCTCAAATTTGCTGGTGCCACGTCTAAGTTACATGCATCCGACTCACAAATTGATAAGAGAGAGTGAACAAAAATAATTTATTATAAAAATTCGGATAAACATCATTAAAATAAAATTCTTAAATCTTATTCCAATTTATTTCCATCGTTTGTGTGACGCGGATTCCACTTTGTGGGCCCAATATGTTCTTTTTTTTAAATTATTTTAAGATAAATAGATGACTATGATAATATAAAATATTAGCAAATAGGGTTGAAGAAGTTATGGGATTGGAGCTCGGGGCCGCCCACTTAGTTAGTTCAATGATGAAAAATGAATATTTCAACGATTAATTTATTTGCTATATTTTGATTTAACCCCATATGATTGGAGCTCTACAAAGGGCGAAATTATATTGTGCGGAGGCCGGATATAACTTTACGTTAAAAGGCGAATCATGCGCAGTCATACCGAGCCGCAGTACCGAGCAGTACTGAAATATACCAAATTGCGGTACAATGAAGAGGTAATGTGGCACATTTTAGTTAATCTCTGAATAGCGTATGACGTCTGAAAATAGAATATAGAGTAAAATAAAATGAAATGTAAAAAGAATGTAATATATTTAAAATATTTGAATTTATTTGGAAAAGTATAATATAAATGAAGGTAATTTTTTTATTTAGCTTTAATAAGAAAAATGTGGCGTATAAAGCCCAAAAATATGGTTGTGATTGTGAGTTACAGGCAGTGGGCGACAATGTCCAGTGACAAAAAGTAGCTGCGACGAGCTGTGAAGAATGACAATGGCTAACAGCGACAATGATAGTGAATTTGTAATATATTTAAAAATATGTCAAATCAAAATCTTTTCAAATAAATCAAGATAAAACTAAATGATAAATTACAAATTCACTTAAATTTTACTCTGCATTTCTTTTTGAAGAAAGCAAACCCCAAAAGTCATAAAATCCCTTCCTTTGAAATCATTTACACTTAACTTTTCATCCAACCTAACAGCCCATAAATCTGTCACTAATTTTCATCTTCTGGGAAAATTATTGGGTCAGGTCACCCGACGTACTCGGAGCCCAATGAAAATGCGCCACATCACCTCCTACTCGGTACTTACCAAACAATACTGAGCTCGGTACTGCTCAGTACCGATCTCAGTACTGTGAATACCGAACGTAAACTGTGTTCGATGACCTGACCAAATAATTTCCCAATCATCTGAGATATCTTGATTGGGCCTAGTTTTGGGTATTTTGTTAATGAAGTGCTTTTGGCATCCCAATATTTGGTTCTAAATTGATGGTTTAAGATTGTCAATCTCTCCTCAACAAAATTAATATCTTTATTGTTAGCCCGAAACAAAATTTCCACTTATTTATTGAGCATTGCAGATAATCAGAGCTTGACCTAAATCCTATACGAGAAATTATTCTATGCGGACGCCGGATACAGTTCTACGTCCGGAGGCGAATTCGGTGCAACCATGTCTACGGTGCCGAGCGTAGGGATGATGGTTTGCATACAATTGAAACATTTCCAAAATTGCATTTGAATTAAGGTTCAAATGATTTTTCTACAAACATATTTCAATTAGCAATCCGTTAATACATAAGAGATTGTTAATTTGATTCGAAAAATAGTAAGCTTTGGAAGCCCTAAATTGATTAAGCACGCATATGATGGGTCAAAAACGGGTCAGCTTTTCGGGTCAGATGAGCCCGACATGAACAGCTTTGTGGGTTTAGAGCATTGATGAGATTTGTATTCTTTTTATAAAATTTATCTGCGTTCATTTAATGTGTTGATCAGCGTACTCGATAGGTCCAAAGAAGACAAGTCAAAAAAAATTTTTTTTTTATGATAAATAATAATTTATAATACTTTAAAATAAAGAAGTTTTACTTACCAAAATATTTTTTAATACAATTTTTTTAAAAAAACTAGCAAAAAAAAAAATTTAATGACCAAAAGCTATCCCAAATGAAGCTTAATTTAACAGTGTTTCACCACAAAAATTTTAAAAATAGTGAGCAAATAGTTGTAATCAAATAAAATTATGGTTGTTGCCAGCTAAGTAAAATAATGAAAAAGTTATCCCAAATAGGATAAATTATTATGTTCGGAGTCCGGATGGCAGAACCGTCCGGATTCAGTGAGGGTACATAACAAATACACAACAAAAAATAAAATTATATATTTGCTCTGTATTTACTACGTATTCTTACAAAATTCGAACGATTCTCCTATCCGGACTTCACATGTAATAATCTCTCTCCAAACATACCCTAAGGGGGTGTTTGGTATAGGATTCGATTCAATTTTAGTATGATTTACTAAATCCTGTAAATCTAGATTTAGTAAATCCTAGGCTATTAAATCCTAAAAGTGTTTGGTATGACAAATTTTAAATCTTGTAAAAACCAGATAAGCTGTTTGTCTACATATTACAGAATTTAAAATAGTTTGAGATTTAAAATTGATTATATTTTATTTATTATAATTATTTATGAGTTAGTTATTAATTATTAATTTAATTACCATTACTAAGTAACAATTATAAATAATATAATTGAATTTAATTTAATTATCAATTAATATAAACTATTAATTATTTATTAATTATATTACATTATTAATTAATTTAATCAACGTCGCTAAACTAAATAACCTTCCTATAGCCGCACAGCCTGCAGGTTTGCTTGGGTTTGCTTTACCTTTTCTATGGCAGTTCATTGCTAATTCTACTTTGCCTCTTCGCCTACTTCGACGATGTTTCTCCTGTCAGATCCCGTAGATCCGACGACCTAAACTCTTCCTCCATGGAGATAAAGAGCCCGGGCAACAAATCGCGACACAGGCACCGCGGGAAGATCTTTGAAGATCTTTCGAAACTGTAAGTTGCGTTAAATCCGAATATAAATGGTATTAGGATTTAGAGGGATTTACCGTATTTATTATGTAAATCGGTAAATCCAAGATTTACAGATTTGTCGAATTTACAGCGGACCGATTTGCATTTGGCTGGATTTATCCTAAATCCTACTAAAGACAGTGGACAAATCCGATTAAAGATGAGTTGATGCATCTTTATCCTTCTCATTATGCACATTTTTAGACTAATATTTTTTATTTAAAAAATTATGTAAATATTTTCACCATCATATTTTTTTATTTTTTAT